TTATGGGTGACTCCGAATCTTAATGTTTCCAGCCTGGACCTCCAAATGCCTGAAAGAAGATCATTGGCTCTTTCACATCTTCTTGGTGCCCAAACTGACCAGGTGCAGCTCCCAAGGCCGAAGGTGACTCTCAGAGATCAGTTCCCTGTCTCCCCAGAGTAGCACCACCTTCCACCTAGCATCTCTGCAGGACAGCATCGTGCCTGAGGGAGTGGGTTTCCCTTTGGTGGCATGGGCTGGCTGAGAAAAGCTAAGAAAAATAGTACGGAGAAATGACCACAGAGCACAAGAAAGTAGTTTCAAAGAGTGGGCAGTGATGGGCAAAGCTGACCACACAGGTCCAGCTTCTACCAAAGAAAGGAGCCTGTGCTTGATTTATTTATATCAGAAGACAGCAAAGGCTTTCTTCACCAAAACAGGATAGAGGTGGGGGGGGATAGGCTGCTCGGTTCCTAGGGGTGACGCCCATCTCCAGAGCTCCGCGGGAACTTCTGGCAGAGCAGAGGGGGCGTTCACTGGCTTTGGGCAGTCTGTCCTGGTGGGCCTGTCACAGGAAGTTCCCAATGCCAGATCTACTCTCTCATTGGCTATGATGCTGAAAAGGTCCTCACACATTTCATGGATGGCTTCCTGCAGGACAGGACTCATCTTCCACTCTAACTTTACAGTCAACCTAGTCCAGGAATCCACCTCCTGAGGTCCTCATCAGACTCTGTCCCACCCCTGATAGAAACCCTGATTTGACTCCCCACCCTGAGCCAGTGGATATTTGAGGTTCTTTATGTTCCTTTGTGGTCTGGCCCCCCAACCTCAGCCAGATAAATGCCTGGTGGGCTTCTCCACCCCCTGCACTTCTGGCCAGGTGGAACCCACTGAATGCAGGATCTGCGGTGACTAGACCTTACCTTCCAGTCTCAGCTTTCATCCACTCATCTACAAATGTCCACTGAGTGAGTGCCTCCTAGCATGCCCTAGGCACTGGGAACCCAGCAGTGCACAAGGTAGGAAAGGCTGCTACTCTCTAGGCCCCCAATTCTGAGGAAGAGCCAAGCCAGGTATACACAAGTAAATGGCCAGGGTGCTTTCCAAAAATGAAAGGCAATCTGAGAAAACTATTTGATGGTGTGACTGAGGAAACTGGGTAGGGAGTTTCTCAGGCTGCAGCGGTCAGAGAAGGCCTTGAGCTGAGGCGAGCAGGATAAGGAGCCAGGCATTAGAAAAGCTAACTACAAAGGTAATAGCAAATGCTAAGTCACAAAGAGCAGGGCCTGGCCAGGTCCAGTTGGCTGGGGAGTGAGTTGTGGCTGAAGACCACAGAGGGATGGCATCTTGGAGGCATGCAAAGTGAAGAGCTTGAATTTTATTTTGAAGGAGGTGGAGCCTTGGATGATTTTAAGCTATGCGTTGGCAGGATTTGATTTATATTTTAACAGAAGCCCGTGGGCTGCTCCTGAGATGAGAGGGAGGGTGGCCAGGACAGGAGCAGGCGGAACAGTCAGGAGGCTCCTTCCATTACCCAGGGGATCCTCGGACAGTTAAGGCAGTAGAGAGGAGGACAAGTAGATTGTGGCTCTCTGGAGACAGAGCCAGTCGATGGGACTCCGCAGACTTGGTTGAGGGAGGCAAGTGGATGAGAAAAAAAAAAACTCCAGATGAATCGGAGGTACTGTCTTAAACACGTGGGAGGAAAGCCGGAGCATTTAGTGGAACAAACGGTAGATAGGCCTGAACGGAGACAGGGGTGGGTTTAGGAGAATATGGAGTTTCGCTTGGACAAGGTCGGGTCTTTGTGAATTTTCCTGAGCCCTGAGCTGGGTCGGGTGGCGCCTCTGGGCTTCCGCAGCTGCCTGTGCACCCCGTGACCTAATCTGACCACTCCGGGTTTATCCAGGGCAGAGGAAATTACGCTCGCGCTGCACCAGGGTTGGAGGGCGAGGCTTCATATAGGGCCGCAGAATCCAAAGCTGTTCAGCAGGTGCAACCGCTTCCCAGGGCTTTCCCGCTGGGACAAGGGCACTGAGAGGTCACAAAGAGCCCACTCTCTCCAGGAGAGCCTATGGGAATGCGTGGATGGAAACCCAGAGGCATTTAATTCCAGCACAACAGTGCGTCGGAGGCGCTCACCTGGGCTGAAACGGCACTTGCAGGTTGCAAGGCCAGGGAAAGGACTCTAGGCGCCGGCGAAGCGCTTCCGCCCCCAGCAGAGGAGCTGCGCCTACAACTCCCGGCGGCCCCGGCACCGCCGCGCGCTCCGCCCGCCGCTCCTGGAGCGCACCGGGTCTCCGTCTGCGCCTGTGCACGCGTTGTGAGGCGCACGAGTTCGGCTCGCAGCCGCGCAGTTTATGCCAAAGCAGAACGGATATTTTTCAGACTTTATGCTCTTATGGGGGTGAAAGCGTTTGTGGCGAGTGGGGCGGGGTGTGGAAAGGAGAGGTAGCGCCTGCGCTGACCGCGAGCCCGGGGTGAGGAGTGGGCTTCTGTGCGCGCCTGGGGCAGCCGCGGTACCCCGGCCGGCGGGTGGCCCGGGGTCTGCACGCGGAGCTCACCGGGAGCGGTTGACGCGAGGAACAGTTATGCGCTGGCGTCGGTGGGTCGCGCAGGCCACCCCATCAGGTGGAGTAGGCAGCTTGGCTCAGGCTTGAAGCAGGTGAGTCCCCTAAGACCAGCACCCAAAGACGACGAAGCACGCTCCCTGGAGTCCACTGGAGCCCTGCTCCCCAGGCCCAAGCCCTCGACCTCCTTCCTGCCCCATCTTCTGTATATGCTGAGATCTTGTCCCCCATGAGGCCCGTGATGAAGATTGACGGTGGGGGCTTATAGGGACCCCTCAGTGTCTGAGCCTGTCATTCTGAGGGTTGAACTCTGGTCTGGGGGTGAGAGGGTCATTGCCCCAATCCCTGTCCTGTGGGGCACGGGTGTATGGGGCTTGGTCAGGAGGTAGGAGGGTAAATGTGAGGTAGCCATGCTGCAAGCCAGGACGTGGTGGGAACGACAGCACGTGACCCACCACGCCCCAAACCTTAGTCCTGCAAATCTCTCAATGAAATGGACTCAGGTGTATTAAAATAAGTTTAAAACCATAATGTAGAGCTTATGTAATTAATGTTCGATTTGTTGTAATTATTACTATATAATTATACACTGAAGTTTTATTTAATTGCAGACTACATTAGTTCTTAAGTTCTTATTAAGCCCATGTGGGGTGACGGACAGAATGGGTTAGTGAATGGTTAGCTCCTGCTGGACTAAGCGCTGCACTTCCCACTCACAGGAAAATGAGGGTAAGAATTGCACCTGCCTCCTAAAGTGTTTGTGAAGATAAATTTAGTCACATTGCTCTACCAAACAATAACATTTGTTTTTTTCATCTCACTCCCCATAATCAGGAATGCCTGCCTTTTCTGGACCAGGCCTGATTTTAAAGTCCTTTTAGAAGAAGCTATGAAGTAAGTTCCAGAACCCAGACATCCTACACAGAGTCTGTCGTGGGCTCCCAGCTGGGGAGGGCAGGGGCGATTTGGAACCCACAGAACATCTGGCCTCCTCTGTGGACATTTGTGGTTGTCATGTGGAGAGGAGACCAGGGGCAGGCCTGAGAGTTAGCGGGTGGCAGGCAGGGTGCTAACGCTGTACAGGGGAGCTTCCGCAGTACTTACTTGGCCCCAAAAGTGAAGAGTACCAGAGTGAGAAACCCCGACCTGAGCTGTATTCTCTCCTGTGGGTTTTTACCCTGAAGCCACAGTCTACAACATTCAAGGGTTTCTATGCTGGTTTAAGTTTTGTGCTCCAGTTGATTTAATTAAATAAGTGGACCTCAACACCACATACTGAAGCCAGCCTGCCTGTGAGACTCCTCACTCCACTTGCTTAGTTGTTGACCTGAGTGTGACTTACCCTTTCTGCACCTCAGTGTCCTCATGTGTTAAATCGGGTGGTTATTTTGGTGGAAGGGTTAAATGAGTTAATGTATATAATGCATTCAGATCAGTGCTTGGCATAGAGTAAGTGCTGTTAAAAGGGGCAGGGGTTGGTTCTTTCTGTCATTTCCTTTGAGGTAACAATGATAAGCATTTTTTCTTTTTTTTTGATACCGGAGATTGAACCAGGGGTACTTAACCACTGAGCCATGTTCCCAGCCCTCTTCCTTTTTCTCTTTTAATTTTACTTTTTTTATTTTGAGACAAGGTCTTGCTTAGTTGCTAAGACTGGCTTTGAACTCATGATCCTCCTGCCTCAGCCTCCCGAGCCGCTGGGCTTGCAGGCGGGTGCCACTGCAGCCAGTCTGATGAGCTGTCTTGAGATCCAGTCATGGCTTGAGGCAGGTCCACTGGACAGGCCCATGGAATCCTGAGTGGCTGTGCTCATCAGCGTGCACAGTTTGGGCAGAGGCTTTGCATGAATACTTCTCAGACGTCTTAGGTCTTACCTGTGGCAGCATTTTAACCATGACCAGGCTGGTGTGGGGGCTAGAGAGGGCGTGCACCCACCTCTCATCACTCGTGGTGAAGGTCCAGCTCCTTAGCCTGCCTGCGTCCAGCTGGCCTCTGGTGACTCCGCAGCCGTAGTCTGCCCTGGGCTCTGGCAGTTCCCCACGTCTGCCATCTGCTTTGTCAAGTAAACGGGGTTCTCTGTCCTGAAAGGCAGTTCTGACCTCTTGAAGGTCAAGAAGTTGGGAGAGTGACAAATATCACCTTCGAGCAGAAGCACCTATGGTTTTGACATGTATTTCTCGGCCTGACAGATCTAGCCAGGCTTAAATTCCATCCTTTAAAACAAACATTTCTCATGAGACATGTCTTTGGAAAGAGAGTGTGTCAGTCAGCTTTTCCTCGCTGTGACCAAAATACACAACAAGAAAGCAGAGGAGAAAGAGTGTCTTTTGGCTCATGGCTCCAGAGCCTCAGTCCCTGGTAGGTTGAGCCTCTGTCCTGGGCTCAGTGAGGAAAAGCATCATGGCGGAGGGGTGAGGTGGAGGAGCACTGCCCCATTCTTGGTCCAGGAAGCAGAGCGGAGGGAAGGTGACCCTCCCAGGGCTGCCCTAGGGCCCTCCTCTGCCAGCCACGCCCCCACAGTCTTTCTAACTAGGATGGGCTGAGGAGGTTACAGCTCTCAGTCTGATCATTTCATTAACTCGGGAGCTTGTGGGGGACACTTCATATCCAAACCATAACAGAGGCCTCTGGATGGTTGGTTTCCCACATTCCCTCTGCTCCCTGGTGCGGAGGTGTTTCCTGTGGAGCTGGAGGGCTCATCTTTAC